TAGAGGTGGTTTGTGGGAGGCAAATTCCCTCAACTTTTGCTTGTCTGGGAATTGTTTAATTCCTCCTTCATATTTAAATGATAATCATGCTGGATACAGTATTCTTGGTTCAAGGCCCTTCTGTTTCATTGCATTAAATATATATCATGCCATTCTCTCTGGCCTGTAAGGTTTCTGTTGAGAAGTCTGATGATAGCCTGATGGGTTTTCTTTTGTAGGTGACCTTTTTTCTCTCTCTAGCTGCCTTTAAAACTCTGTCCTGGTCCTTAATCTTTGCCATTTTAATTATTATGTCTTGGTGTTGTCTTCCTTGGGTCCCTTGTGTTGGGAGTTCTGTCAGCTTCCATTATCTGAGAGGCTATTTCCTCCCCCAGTTTGGAGAAGTTTTCAGCAGTTCTTTCTTCAAATACATTTTCTATCCATTTTTCTCTCTCTTCTTCTTCTGGTACCCCTATAATGCAGATATTGTTCCTTTTGGATTGGTCACACAGTTCTCTTAATATTGTTTCATTTCTGGAGATCCTTTTATCTCTCTCTACGTCAGCTTCTGTGCGTTCCTGTTCTCTGGTTTCTATTCCATCAATGGCCTTTTGCATCTTATCCATTCTGCTTATGAATCCTTCCAGAGATTGTTTCATTTCTGTAATCTCCTTCTGGACATCATCCATTAGCTCTTGCATATTTCTCTGCAGCCCAATCAGCATGGTTATGACCTTTATTTTTAATTCTTTTTCAGGGAGATTGGTTAGGTCTGTCTCCTCAGATTCCTTCTCAGGGGACGATATCTGGGTTAGTCTGGTTTTTATGAAATTCTTCTGCCTTTTTATGGCAATACAGGTAGTTGTGGGGAGCTGGCGCATATGTTGGCTGGGAGAACGTCCTTTCTTGCTGGTTTGTGGCCTTCCTCTCCTAGGAGAACAGCGACCCCTAGCCCCTAGCAGCTTGTGCTGCACAGGTGCGCAGATGGGGTCTGACTCATGCCCAGTTGCTGTGGGAGCAGCCAGCCTCAGGCTGCTACTCCAATATGGCGGAGTGGCATCGGAGGGGAAATGGGCAGAAGGCTGTTTATCGCTGTGAGGGGCCTCTGAGCTGCACTGCCGCCCAGGGGGTTAGGGCACCTAGAGTTCCCTGGGATTCCAACTGCTGGGCTAAGTGTCCCGGGACGCTTCCGTCCAGCTGTGGGGTCCCTGTCCCTTTAAGACTTTCAAAAAGCACTCGCTTTTCTTTGTCTCAGGGGCGCTGGCTGCAGGGACCTGCTCACAGGTCTTACTGTCCTGTTTCCCTAGTATCCAGCACACCACACACTGTGTGTCTGCGCTCCGGTGTGGATGGCTAGGGCTGGGTGTTTAGCAGTCCTGGGCTCCCTCTCCCTCCCTGCTCTGACTCCTCTCCTCCTGCCAGGAGCTGGAGTGAGGGGTGCTCGGGTCCCACCAGCCACGGCTTGTATCTTACCCCCTTCATGAGGCGCTGGGTTCTCGCAGGTGTAGATGTAGTCTGGCTGTTTTCCTGTATCTTCTGGTCTCTCTTTTAGGAATAGTCGTATTTGTTGTATTTTGAAAAATATTTATGGTTTTGGGAGGAGATTTCTGCTGCTCTACTCACTCCACCATCTTGGCTTCTGTCTCAACCATGAAATTTTGAAATAGGAAAAATATACATTAAGAACTACTAAATAGTTTAACAAATGCCAAGTATTTCTGTTCAATACTATTTAGTTTTCAGAGCTGTGTTCCTCAGGCCCAGGATCTAATGTGGGCAGAAGTCTTGGAGGAGGGAGAAATACTATAGGAATAATTAATTCAATTCTGCCATTTTTCTTAAGTCTATAAGGTCTCTGCAGGTTGAAATATTATATGGGAATTAATGATTTAACAAAAGAACATAAATCATGGAAATGGCTTTTACTTTAGAAAGATAGAAATAAAATATTTTGCTCTTTTTAATTTTTTAATATCTTTATTATTAGATTGATGGAACTTTCTGTCTTTGGATCAAGATTTTTATTTAAAAATTCTGTCTTTATTTAAAAAGGAATAAATATACGATTCTATCACCTCACATCAATGATGATAAAAATAGCTAACATTTTTTGGCACTTATAACATGCCTGCATTGTTACAAATGCTGAATTTTAATAATCAATAGCCATACAAGGTAGATACTGTTATCCCAATTTTTAGATAAGAAAACACAGACACAGAGAACTTACCTGTCTAAGGCTGAAAACTAAGAGGTAACACTGGAGGCAGCCTAGCCCCAGATTCACTGCTCAACCTTGTGCTGCACTACCTCTCAGGACAGGACTGCTCAGAGACTGAAATATACATTGCTCGGATTTCTAGACTGTTGAGCTGCATACCCGCTTAGGCAAGTTCTACAGATCCCAGTAGTTTATTAGCTAGACCCTGGATTAATAGACTATAGCCCATGTATGAGGAAGCTTCATATCCGTGGTTTTAAGAGAGATGTCTTACAAGTTATCATTAACATCCTTTTCTAAAACCTTTACTTTCCCCCTTTAATTATAGATCCCACCTCCAGCTGGACCCTCATCTATCCACTGGCTGATCAAACAGTGTCCCCTACCTCCTTTCCAGAGCATCATTCCTTTGTATCTGCTGCCAGAGCCACGGTGCCATTTACTCCAAGGACTAACTTTCTAAAATTCCACACCTTGAATGACTGCTAGTCGCTCAGCATCCACTTTGTGTCTCCAAATTGTGTAGAACTCTGTAATCCTTTGATTCTGACACAATGAAGCATTTCACTTTTTTTATTCGAAGTTATTGATAAAATAACTTCGAATAAAAAAATATTTGAATAATAAGTTGGTCAGCCCAATGCAAAGTTTATTTCTTATCTGCCACCAGGACCAGTGGTTCTCTTCATTCCATGGGCCAGCCTCCCAGGTGGCTCTAGACTTCAAGTCCTATCTTAGTCAGTGTTCAGTCTTATTCCCCAAAAGTAATAAAATGCTTCTCTCCAGGATTTTGGTGAAGGATAGGTTGTATCTGTGGTTTTGCTAATGCATCTCCCAGATTTCAAAGAACTACCAGTTTTGCCATGACTCAAATCTTAAAGGTCTATTTCTGCTGTGCAGTTTCTCAAACTGACAGCTCATTGGAAAAATAATGTATAATGTTATTTTATTATAGCAATTATTCCTAATTAAAGCAGTATTTAATGCAATTTCCAGTTATTTTCCATTGGAGAATTTTGTTATTGCATTATCTTGAATGTTGGGAAGATGTGGTGTTGCTCATTCCTTACAAAAATAAGTAAGCACAATAAAGTGGATGCTACACCATCAAACATAAATGTCCCTGCTGTGTTCCTGAATGTGTAATAAGAAAGTGTAATAAATATTTTCATTATAGTTTTGTTATATAAATATAACTTATAAGAAAAATTTGATAGGAATACTGTATATTGCTAATTTTTAACTATTCCTACTGGCAAACTTTATGATTCTAGACTTTCCTCATATACAGTATTCAGTGCACAGAAATCTTTTGATCAGTTCAAGTACAATAAGTTAAGTGATTTCCAACTAAAACTCTCAAGTCCAAGTCAGTAATTATAGTTCTTTGGCTGGTATGTTCTCAGTGTCAGGGCTGCTTATGCCCTTCATTCATCATTGGGTTTGAGAGCACTGTGTTTGGGAGAAAGTTAGGAAATATATTAGGAGAGAATGAAACAAAAGTTTTGCTTTCAGAGATACTGTAGGTGCTAATACTGGATATAATCTTTCAGATTTAGTTTCTTTTATGGATCTGTTAGTTATTCAGTAAATCCCATAAGTCTGTAATATTTTAATTGTATAAAACTCCTTTGTTACTTTATAGCCTGTAATAACGTGTCTGCCTTTTAAACCTGTTGCAATAACTCTGCTGAGATAGTAACACATAAGTAAAAATTTTCTTAAACAAATTGCCTCTGTGTCATATTTGGTGTGATATGGGAACATGATAAGGCCTCAAATTTGGCAGATAGACACTACTGCTAGAATCACCAATAAGGGTAGTTTAGTATTTTTAAACATCTTACATTTATATCATTTGTCATACTTTTCAGTTTTTATGTTTTATCATAAAAGCAGGTATGTTAGCTAAATAGGTAAAAACCAAGCAATAGTCCCTAATAGTCAAAGTGTATTTCAATTGAAGATATGAGATCAGAATGCTTCATTAGGGAAAAGTATCACAGGTATTGTTATCCTGGATCATCTGATGACTACATTTTTTAAAAGCACATTTGTAGAAAGTAGCTGCTTATAAATTAGTCTATAGTCCAACTTTGTGAGATTATTGTTCTTTGTAGATATTCAGCTTTCCAACCCAATTAAATAGAAAATAATACTCATATGTAGCCAGTAATCAAATAGCAGTTGTAAGACCTGAATTCAGTCCCTTCCATGTTCCTGACTCCTGGCGTAGCTAAAGTCATAGCTTCTCAAGAGTAACATCCTTTGCTTCTTGACTGTTGTTTATTTTCATTTCATAAAAAGGTCAGAGCATCAGCACTATATTGATACATATACTTACCTTCCCTTCCCCTCACTATGTTTCTCCTTCCCTACCCCAGCCCCTCGAATGCCATGAAGGCAGAGGTGGTTTCTCATTCTCCTTGCATCTGTCCTAAGTCCAAGCATCAGACATCCAAGCTACATATACTTAGCACTCACCAAAGTGGATAAATGAATGAAATGTAAGTTGACGGTCATCAGCAGCATTCATTTACTACATCTTGATTAGCAAGGTGTTTGGTAAGATGGTGACTTGTAAAGACTTTACCCCTTGTAAAGTCTCGTTTTAAAACTGGAAAGAGCTGATACCCCCACAGACCTCCAAACTTGGAAACATGTCAAGGATAGGACATGGCTCGAATGAACCGCCCAGCTCCTGTGGAAGTCACATACAAGAATATGAGATTTCTTATTGCACACAACCCAACCAATGCAACCTTAAACAAATTCATAGAGGAACTTAAGAAGTATGGAGTTACTACAATAGTAAGAGTATGTGAAGCAACTTACGACACTATTCTTGTGGAGAAAGAAGGCATACATGTTCTTGATTGGCCATTTGATGATGGTGCACAACCGTCCAACCAGATAGTTGATGACTGGTTAAGTCTTGTGAAAATTAAGTTTCGTGAGGAACCTGGTTGTTGCATTGCTGTTCATTGTGTTGCAGGCCTCGGAAGAGCTCCAGTGCTTGTTGCCCTGGCATTAATTGAAGATGGAATGCAATACGAAGAGGCAATACAGTTCATAAGACAAAAGCGGCATGGAGCTTTTAACAGCAAGCAATTTCTGTATCTGGAAAAATATATCGTCCTAAAATGCGGCTGCGCTTCAAAGACTCCAATGGTCATAGAAACAACTGTTGCATTCACTAAAACTGGGGTGCTTGCTATCATTGCCTTGGATGTGGAACTTGAGAAAGGAACTTGTCATACATATTAGCAAACATGTTGGCTTGGTGAATAAGTCTAATGAAGCTTGCATAGGAATCTTGAAAAGAGTTTTACCAGGCCACAAGCTTGACACATGCAACCTCTATGGGTCAGCCTATTTGGACACTTTGCAAAAGATTCTTGCTGTTCCGCATTTAAGATGTGCTTAGCATTTATACCAGTTGACCTTTCCTGAAATCATGCAGCATTGAGTTATGTCTTTAAATTTATTCCCATGCCAGAATCCTGTCAATATAAGAAATTTAGAAAGATGAGGTGCCAAAATACCCAGCACAATACTTGTATATTTTTAGTATCATACAGAACTAAAATCCCAAGAACTATGAACACTCTGGACCTTATGTTTTTATTCCATACATCATTTCAAATATAGAAAATAGGGCCTATATGGTATTTGCCTGTTCACTTTATGTTTACATCTCAGGTTTGCTCAACTTTTTTTTTTAAACCAAGCCTTACAGTGATTATTTAATGTCTTTCTCCAAATATCTTGTGCTGTTATGGAAAACCTCCATTCTGAAAATCTACATCATACAGAAGTACATGTCTTTAACGTCTCCAGACAAAAAAAGCCTTACAGTTAATTTTAATGTTTGCACTTCGGGGTGCAACTGACAGGGAGGGCCTGAAAAAAGGATGGGAGGAGGCTATTAAGTGTTTTTAGTAAAATGTTGCTTTTGTCTTGTGCAGATTATGTAGAATATGCTCTTTAATTTAGTAAATTTTTTTAAAGGTAGAGATGCTTTGTTATTGTAGCTAAAACAATTCTTAATCATAAAATTTCTAAAAATCTTGTAGTTTATTTTCATACTTATCCGAAGCTGTTTACCAACTTACTTTTGTTTGAAGTGTGATCTTTTTCCCCCTTCTCTTCCCAACCTCTCTTGCAAAAAAGAAAAAAAAAAAGAAGTGGGTTTCTGCTGATGAATTGAGCAGACTCTAATATTTTATATGCCTTTTGAGCTGTGTAACTTAATATTTGGATACTTGATCATTTGTTTTATTATGTAATTGATAAAATGGTGATCTGTATTAATGTTAGTTCAGCCATATATTTATACTGTCTGGGAATGTGTGGTTATAGTTCTGTGGGAGAAATAATTTGTCAGTGTTCACCAGCTTGTAAAAATGTAGTGCGAAAGCTTAAACATCTAAATAAATAATGAAGTGCATTTATCATCATTGAAAAAAAAAAAAAGAAAGTCTGATGGGGGAGAAAAGGAATCAGGAATATCATGAATTGCCCAGATTTTACATTTGTCAGGGAAATCCCAGCCTGGCCCTGACCTCCTGAGTTTTCCAGCATCCCAGCCATATAAGCAAGTATGAGGTTTTACCACTCACTAGAAAAATACTTGCAAATACACTAGCCTACAGCTTTCCCTGTGGGGCTAAAAGGAAACATTCTGAGAGTACTTCTCTGTACTCTTCCTGAAAAATGCAAGCTACCCTCTTATTTCCCTGTCTGTAATCTTTATTCATTCCAAACAAGTGGGGTTAAACTGCTTAACTAATACACTCCCCAGAACTTAATGCTTTGCTTCTTAGAGTAGTGAGCCTACAACTGTGATGGGATTCAGAAGAAGGAAGCAGTGAGAAACAGCTGTTGGCCAAGTGAACAAGGCCAGTGATGGCATGCGAACAGTAGTGACGGTATCCACCACACACTGTGTGTCTGCGCTCCGGTGTGGATGGCTAGGGCTGGGTGTTTAGTCCTGGGCTCCCTCTCCCTCCCTGCTCTGACTCCTCTCCTCCTGCCAGGAGCTGGAGTGAGGGGTGCTCGGGTCCCACCAGCCACGGCTTGTATCTTACCCCCTTCATGAGGCGCTGGGTTCTCGCAGGTGTAGATGTAGTCTGGCTGTTTTCCTGTATCTTCTGGTCTCTCTTTTAGGAATAGTCGTATTTGTTGTATTTTGAAAAATATTTATGGTTTTGGGAGGAGATTTCTGCTGCTCTACTCACTCCACCATCTTGGCTTCTGTCTCAACCATGAAATTTTGAAATAGGAAAAATATACATTAAGAACTACTAAATAGTTTAACAAATGCCAAGTATTTCTGTTCAATACTATTTAGTTTTCAGAGCTGTGTTCCTCAGGCCCAGGATCTAATGTGGGCAGAAGTCTTGGAGGAGGGAGAAATACTATAGGAATAATTAATTCAATTCTGCCATTTTTCTTAAGTCTATAAGGTCTCTGCAGGTTGAAATATTATATGGGAATTAATGATTTAACAAAAGAACATAAATCATGGAAATGGCTTTTACTTTAGAAAGATAGAAATAAAATATTTTGCTCTTTTTAATTTTTTAATATCTTTATTATTAGATTGATGGAACTTTCTGTCTTTGGATCAAGATTTTTATTTAAAAATTCTGTCTTTATTTAAAAAGGAATAAATATACGATTCTATCACCTCACATCAATGATGATAAAAATAGCTAACATTTTTTGGCACTTATAACATGCCTGCATTGTTACAAATGCTGAATTTTAATAATCAATAGCCATACAAGGTAGATACTGTTATCCCAATTTTTAGATAAGAAAACACAGACACAGAGAACTTACCTGTCTAAGGCTGAAAACTAAGAGGTAACACTGGAGGCAGCCTAGCCCCAGATTCACTGCTCAACCTTGTGCTGCACTACCTCTCAGGACAGGACTGCTCAGAGACTGAAATATACATTGCTCGGATTTCTAGACTGTTGAGCTGCATACCCGCTTAGGCAAGTTCTACAGATCCCAGTAGTTTATTAGCTAGACCCTGGATTAATAGACTATAGCCCATGTATGAGGAAGCTTCATATCCGTGGTTTTAAGAGAGATGTCTTACAAGTTATCATTAACATCCTTTTCTAAAACCTTTACTTTCCCCCTTTAATTATAGATCCCACCTCCAGCTGGACCCTCATCTATCCACTGGCTGATCAAACAGTGTCCCCTACCTCCTTTCCAGAGCATCATTCCTTTGTATCTGCTGCCAGAGCCACGGTGCCATTTACTCCAAGGACTAACTTTCTAAAATTCCACACCTTGAATGACTGCTAGTCGCTCAGCATCCACTTTGTGTCTCCAAATTGTGTAGAACTCTGTAATCCTTTGATTCTGACACAATGAAGCATTTCACTTTTTTTATTCGAAGTTATTGATAAAATAACTTCGAATAAAAAAATATTTGAATAATAAGTTGGTCAGCCCAATGCAAAGTTTATTTCTTATCTGCCACCAGGACCAGTGGTTCTCTTCATTCCATGGGCCAGCCTCCCAGGTGGCTCTAGACTTCAAGTCCTATCTTAGTCAGTGTTCAGTCTTATTCCCCAAAAGTAATAAAATGCTTCTCTCCAGGATTTTGGTGAAGGATAGGTTGTATCTGTGGTTTTGCTAATGCATCTCCCAGATTTCAAAGAACTACCAGTTTTGCCATGACTCAAATCTTAAAGGTCTATTTCTGCTGTGCAGTTTCTCAAACTGACAGCTCATTGGAAAAATAATGTATAATGTTATTTTATTATAGCAATTATTCCTAATTAAAGCAGTATTTAATGCAATTTCCAGTTATTTTCCATTGGAGAATTTTGTTATTGCATTATCTTGAATGTTGGGAAGATGTGGTGTTGCTCATTCCTTACAAAAATAAGTAAGCACAATAAAGTGGATGCTACACCATCAAACATAAATGTCCCTGCTGTGTTCCTGAATGTGTAATAAGAAAGTGTAATAAATATTTTCATTATAGTTTTGTTATATAAATATAACTTATAAGAAAAATTTGATAGGAATACTGTATATTGCTAATTTTTAACTATTCCTACTGGCAAACTTTATGATTCTAGACTTTCCTCATATACAGTATTCAGTGCACAGAAATCTTTTGATCAGTTCAAGTACAATAAGTTAAGTGATTTCCAACTAAAACTCTCAAGTCCAAGTCAGTAATTATAGTTCTTTGGCTGGTATGTTCTCAGTGTCAGGGCTGCTTATGCCCTTCATTCATCATTGGGTTTGAGAGCACTGTGTTTGGGAGAAAGTTAGGAAATATATTAGGAGAGAATGAAACAAAAGTTTTGCTTTCAGAGATACTGTAGGTGCTAATACTGGATATAATCTTTCAGATTTAGTTTCTTTTATGGATCTGTTAGTTATTCAGTAAATCCCATAAGTCTGTAATATTTTAATTGTATAAAACTCCTTTGTTACTTTATAGCCTGTAATAACGTGTCTGCCTTTTAAACCTGTTGCAATAACTCTGCTGAGATAGTAACACATAAGTAAAAATTTTCTTAAACAAATTGCCTCTGTGTCATATTTGGTGTGATATGGGAACATGATAAGGCCTCAAATTTGGCAGATAGACACTACTGCTAGAATCACCAATAAGGGTAGTTTAGTATTTTTAAACATCTTACATTTATATCATTTGTCATACTTTTCAGTTTTTATGTTTTATCATAAAAGCAGGTATGTTAGCTAAATAGGTAAAAACCAAGCAATAGTCCCTAATAGTCAAAGTGTATTTCAATTGAAGATATGAGATCAGAATGCTTCATTAGGGAAAAGTATCACAGGTATTGTTATCCTGGATCATCTGATGACTACATTTTTTAAAAGCACATTTGTAGAAAGTAGCTGCTTATAAATTAGTCTATAGTCCAACTTTGTGAGATTATTGTTCTTTGTAGATATTCAGCTTTCCAACCCAATTAAATAGAAAATAATACTCATATGTAGCCAGTAATCAAATAGCAGTTGTAAGACCTGAATTCAGTCCCTTCCATGTTCCTGACTCCTGGCGTAGCTAAAGTCATAGCTTCTCAAGAGTAACATCCTTTGCTTCTTGACTGTTGTTTATTTTCATTTCATAAAAAGGTCAGAGCATCAGCACTATATTGATACATATACTTACCTTCCCTTCCCCTCACTATGTTTCTCCTTCCCTACCCCAGCCCCTCGAATGCCATGAAGGCAGAGGTGGTTTCTCATTCTCCTTGCATCTGTCCTAAGTCCAAGCATCAGACATCCAAGCTACATATACTTAGCACTCACCAAAGTGGATAAATGAATGAAATGTAAGTTGACGGTCATCAGCAGCATTCATTTACTACATCTTGATTAGCAAGGTGTTTGGTAAGATGGTGACTTGTAAAGACTTTACCCCTTGTAAAGTCTCGTTTTAAAACTGGAAAGAGCTGATACCCCCACAGACCTCCAAACTTGGAAACATGTCAAGGATAGGACATGGCTCGAATGAACCGCCCAGCTCCTGTGGAAGTCACATACAAGAATATGAGATTTCTTATTGCACACAACCCAACCAATGCAACCTTAAACAAATTCATAGAGGAACTTAAGAAGTATGGAGTTACTACAATAGTAAGAGTATGTGAAGCAACTTACGACACTATTCTTGTGGAGAAAGAAGGCATACATGTTCTTGATTGGCCATTTGATGATGGTGCACAACCGTCCAACCAGATAGTTGATGACTGGTTAAGTCTTGTGAAAATTAAGTTTCGTGAGGAACCTGGTTGTTGCATTGCTGTTCATTGTGTTGCAGGCCTCGGAAGAGCTCCAGTGCTTGTTGCCCTGGCATTAATTGAAGATGGAATGCAATACGAAGAGGCAATACAGTTCATAAGACAAAAGCGGCATGGAGCTTTTAACAGCAAGCAATTTCTGTATCTGGAAAAATATATCGTCCTAAAATGCGGCTGCGCTTCAAAGACTCCAATGGTCATAGAAACAACTGTTGCATTCACTAAAACTGGGGTGCTTGCTATCATTGCCTTGGATGTGGAACTTGAGAAAGGAACTTGTCATACATATTAGCAAACATGTTGGCTTGGTGAATAAGTCTAATGAAGCTTGCATAGGAATCTTGAAAAGAGTTTTACCAGGCCACAAGCTTGACACATGCAACCTCTATGGGTCAGCCTATTTGGACACTTTGCAAAAGATTCTTGCTGTTCCGCATTTAAGATGTGCTTAGCATTTATACCAGTTGACCTTTCCTGAAATCATGCAGCATTGAGTTATGTCTTTAAATTTATTCCCATGCCAGAATCCTGTCAATATAAGAAATTTAGAAAGATGAGGTGCCAAAATACCCAGCACAATACTTGTATATTTTTAGTATCATACAGAACTAAAATCCCAAGAACTATGAACACTCTGGACCTTATGTTTTTATTCCATACATCATTTCAAATATAGAAAATAGGGCCTATATGGTATTTGCCTGTTCACTTTATGTTTACATCTCAGGTTTGCTCAACTTTTTTTTTTAAACCAAGCCTTACAGTGATTATTTAATGTCTTTCTCCAAATATCTTGTGCTGTTATGGAAAACCTCCATTCTGAAAATCTACATCATACAGAAGTACATGTCTTTAACGTCTCCAGACAAAAAAAGCCTTACAGTTAATTTTAATGTTTGCACTTCGGGGTGCAACTGACAGGGAGGGCCTGAAAAAAGGATGGGAGGAGGCTATTAAGTGTTTTTAGTAAAATGTTGCTTTTGTCTTGTGCAGATTATGTAGAATATGCTCTTTAATTTAGTAAATTTTTTTAAAGGTAGAGATGCTTTGTTATTGTAGCTAAAACAATTCTTAATCATAAAATTTCTAAAAATCTTGTAGTTTATTTTCATACTTATCCGAAGCTGTTTACCAACTTACTTTTGTTTGAAGTGTGATCTTTTTCCCCCTTCTCTTCCCAACCTCTCTTGCAAAAAAGAAAAAAAAAAAGAAGTGGGTTTCTGCTGATGAATTGAGCAGACTCTAATATTTTATATGCCTTTTGAGCTGTGTAACTTAATATTTGGATACTTGATCATTTGTTTTATTATGTAATTGATAAAATGGTGATCTGTATTAATGTTAGTTCAGCCATATATTTATACTGTCTGGGAATGTGTGGTTATAGTTCTGTGGGAGAAATAATTTGTCAGTGTTCACCAGCTTGTAAAAATGTAGTGCGAAAGCTTAAACATCTAAATAAATAATGAAGTGCATTTATCATCATTGAAAAAAAAAAAAAGAAAGTCTGATGGGGGAGAAAAGGAATCAGGAATATCATGAATTGCCCAGATTTTACATTTGTCAGGGAAATCCCAGCCTGGCCCTGACCTCCTGAGTTTTCCAGCATCCCAGCCATATAAGCAAGTATGAGGTTTTACCACTCACTAGAAAAATACTTGCAAATACACTAGCCTACAGCTTTCCCTGTGGGGCTAAAAGGAAACATTCTGAGAGTACTTCTCTGTACTCTTCCTGAAAAATGCAAGCTACCCTCTTATTTCCCTGTCTGTAATCTTTATTCATTCCAAACAAGTGGGGTTAAACTGCTTAACTAATACACTCCCCAGAACTTAATGCTTTGCTTCTTAGAGTAGTGAGCCTACAACTGTGATGGGATTCAGAAGAAGGAAGCAGTGAGAAACAGCTGTTGGCCAAGTGAACAAGGCCAGTGATGGCATGCGAACAGTAGTGACGGTATCCTCTTGTACTTCAAAGGCATCTTCCTCCAGAAAGGCTCACAATGCTATATTGATACATATATATTTGTCTTTTATCCCTGATGATTGAAAAAAACTAGGTTTAGTCTTAGTCATGTGTATTTCTATAGCTATCCACAAGTATCTTGGCTGTTTCTATTTGCTGTCTCAGTAACTGCAATTAATGTCTTCATTGAGCAGTATTTAGAAATTGCATTGACTTTTCACTTTCTTCAGTTGTGTGAGGTCCTATTTTCTGTACCCTCTTCAACTCTGGGCAGTGGATTTTCCCTTTGCCATGTCCATAGCTTCATGTTTTGCCTGCCTGAATTCATATCAGCACATCATGTTCTGTTCATCATCAGAACTTGCGTACAAATTCTGTCCTGCGGTTCCCTTAATCACCATCAAACTCCAGCCTCCTGCTATCATTACCTGTGTAATTCTCTTTTTCTATGTGATCATGTTAAAGGATGGCATTACATTTATGTGACTATGGAATTATTTTCTAAAACTTCTTGACAGTAAGTGCACATCAAGAAGGTATTACTGATTTTTCTCTTCATTCTACATAATGTAAATTTTCTCTCACCATCCTGAACTTCACTGTGCCACTTGTCCAGCAGTTTCACCAAAGCTTGCACAGTTTCCCTCCAAGTAGCTTCACATACTCTTTTTGGACATCTCCTTAAATTCTCCTTTGCAGAATAGAAACCTTTCTCTGCAAACTCATTTTACTCTAAAATGGTCTTGTCTAGTGAAAAACAGAATCAAAGATCTTAGAAGTGAAAGAGAGCCCCTCAATGTATTCACTTATTTATTCATTTTTTATTGAAGTATCATTGAGTACAATCTTATATTGCTTTAAAATATACAACACAGCGGTTCAACAGTTGCCCATATTATTAAATCCTCACCTCTACTAGTGAGGTTACCATCTGTCAACACAGGAAGATGTTACAGAATCACTGGCTATATTCTCCCTGCTGCACTACCATCCCTGTGAACAACTTATATTATGATTGAGAATTTCTGTGCCCCTTTATCCCCCTCACCCTCCACACCTACCCACCCTTCCCCTTCCCCATGATAACCACCAGTCGTCACCTCTAAGTGTCTGAGTCTACTACTGTTTCGTTCATTCTGTTTTGCTTTGTGTTTATACTCCACAAATAAGGGAAATCATGTGGTATTTGTCTTTCTCCACCTGGCTTAATTCACTGAGCATAATACCCTCTAGATCCATCCATGTTGTTGCAAATGGCAGGATATCTTTTTTCCTTATAGGAGCCTGTCAATTTTTGATCCATCCCTTTGTCTTCAGGAAGACATGTATTGTTCTCACCTAGCAGGTGGTACAACTGAAGCCCAAAGAAGTACTTGTTTAAGGTCACACCTCTGCTAAGTAAGGAAGCAGTTGCTGGACCCCAGCTCCCCAGCTGGAGAGCAGCGAGAGAGTGGAGAAGGCGGTTGGCAGCAGATAAGAGAAGTCTCTACATCAGTAAGTTGAGTAATTGGTACTAGTGTGGAAAAGTCATCCACACTTGTACTCAAATCTGTAACACTTGAGGAACACTAGTAAAGACCATTGAAAAGCTATGTAGTAATGAAATTACGATAGAATGGGATTGTGCTCAAAGACGGATGTTCCAGTCACCTAATGCTGTGTAACGAACCAACCCAAAACTTAAGGGCTTAAAACAGTATTTTGCTCACATATCTGCGATCTGGGCAGAATTCTGCAGGGACAGCTCATCTCTGCACCTCCATGCTAGCTTGGATGGCTTAAAGTCTGAGAGCTAGAATCATCTGAAGGCTCATGAGGCTCAGACATCTGGAGCACCACAGCTGGGGCTGCTGGGGCTCCTCGGACCCGGCTCTCTATCTCAGTGGGAGCTTGCAGCATGGCAGCTGCACGATAGCCAGACTTCTTACAGAGCAGCCCACTTCTCCCAAGGGATGTGGCTCTAGAGAGCCAGGTGGATGCTGCACCACCTTTTACAACTTGGCTTCAAAAGTCATACAGCATCACTTGTGCCACAATCTTGACTGAGGCAGTTACAAAGGTCTTCCTGGATTTAAGAGGCCAGAACACAGACCCCACCTCTCTGAGCGGGAGTGTCAATATCATATTCTAAGGAGAGCAGGTGGGATGCTCCTTCAGAGCAGCTATATTTGGAAAAAACAACCTGCCACAACTAAAAACTCCTGGCTTACCAAGCCATTGAAACAGAGTCGAAATGGGCCCTGAAAAAGCCATCCATTCGTCACTAACAAAACTCCTTCTGCAGGAGAGCTCAAACGCCCCTTCCTTTTGGAATCCCTCTTTGATGTCCCCCACTTCTTCCATTGCCCTTTGTAAATCTGTCCACTCTCTCGCTCGGCATATTCTATTGTAATTGTTTTTATAACATGATTGTAATCAGGCAGGTACTATTAGCCTGTCACTTAGCAAAACTTTTTTTTCTTATCAATCGATATGACAGGAAAACATCACAAAGAAAAGTCTTCAGCTTGACAGCGAAGAGACGCTTCTAAGGGAGCCGTGACACTTAGCACAGAAACAGCAGAGGGAGAGGCATCAGCAGTTCGAAGAAGAAAAACTGGCATCGCACACACACATAACAACACATATACATATGCTTTTGCCCTCCAATAAAGGTAGAAGGCATAAGCAGTAGATGTTAAAACCTAGAGAGTCAGGCGGCTGACGTGGAAGCTTTGCCTAAAGCGGCGGTTCTGCAGCCTCACCTGCAGGGTCCGTCGGAGCACCCCCTTTCCCGTCCAGCAGGTCCGGGTGCGCCTGCGAGGCTGCGTCCCCGAGGGGTTCCCAGACGAGTCGTCGCTGGTGGGCTGGGACCGCGCTTCGGGAACCGCCAGCCTAGCGGTTCCCAGAGCCGCTAGCGGGTAGGCCCACAGCTGAAGCCCTGGGTCAGACGGAGGGGCCGCGGCCACCAGGGCGGGGGGTGGAGAAGAGCACCCGACAGGGGGAAGTGGCCTGGTCTGAACAGAGCCCATCTCTCGGTAGCCGATCTCTCCCGCCTGGGCGGGCGCACGGGGCGACTGCACCCCGGTGGGGAGGAAGCGGCCACAGCCGGTCTCCTCAGCCGCGGCGGAGAGGGGCCCCAGGCCGGCCGCCAACGGGCGGAGCTCAGGACGTTGCGGGAACGGGAGCGGAGGGGACGCAAGTCCCCGCCCCCAGAGTGGGCGGGCCCCAAGGGCTGTGATTGGTCAGCGCCGCGGGTGCGGGGTGACGTCGGGCCAGGGCAGAAATTTCTGAGCAGAGCGCGGGAGTTGAGAAGCGGAGGCTGGGGGACTTCGGGGACGGAGCTTACAAGGACCTTCGGCTGCCAGGGGTGTCTCGGAAGAACCAGGCCCAATTCCCCACGAGCTTTCCCCGCTCCGAGTGCCGCTCTGTCCCCCAGGTGAGCACCCGAGTGGGCCCTCTGGTGTAGTGGGTGGGGGTGTTGGGGGAGAGAGTACTCGGTGCTCCTGGCACGGAAGGCGAGAGAGCGGAATGTGCCCCGCTTTCCCCGAGGCCCTGGGGGCTCCCTGCGTCCCCACCACTCACCTTAAGCCTTTGGGATCGCTGACTGGTCTGATGTTGTGGCTTGTGGCTCCAGAAAAATGAGGCATTTTCTAGATTTTTAAGTGCCTGCTCTGAGGTCAGCAGTGTGGTCAGCGCAGGGACCACACAAGTAATTACGTCCCCAGGCACAGAGCAGGTGGGTGATGCAGTTTTCAAGGGAAGTGAGCGCAGCCCCTGAGGAAAGGATCTCTACCGGGAAGACGAACAATTAATTACTGCATGGTGTGAAAGGTGAGCAATCGAGAGATGCCTGAAAACATGTATGGGGGTGACCTCTTTGAAAAAGTGATACCTGACCTAAGGTTTGATGGAAGAGGCAAAGAACTGAAAAAAATCAGAGCCTCTGCACCGAGCCTCTGCAACCCCCCGCTATAGATCGTAGTTGCCCATTCTTGCAAATAAATGGAAAACACATTGCAGGGGACTAGCTCTCTCACTCCCGTCAGGTAACAGTGTCGGAGAAGATGACAGAGGAACTGGATTTCCCGGGACAGGACTCTGACGGAGGTAGTGAGGAGGTGGTCCTCACGCCTGCAGAGCTCATTGAAAGGCTGGAGCAGGTAAGCCGCCCCCCTAGAATCCTGTCTTAGCGTTTTTATTTAGTCCAGCTGTGCAAATGCCAAGAATCAGGAATTTAATAGAACAGTTAATAGAACACATTTAATAGAACAGTTCACAGGGCAAAGATCTCCTTGGTATTTGCGGGGACTACAGAGGTGTAGTGGTCAAGACTTGTAAGGTCTCTACCATTGTCCCTTGAAGCACCTGTTTCCCTGTAAAATGCTGGGCTTAGCGAAAAAGGTCTGAAACACCTTCTTTAGGAGGAAACTGGTCTTACTCTTCCTTTTTCTCCCATATACTTTCTTTTTTCAGCTGTTCTCTGTCTTTCTACTGCTTATCTAAAATCATTTCTGGGATATTTCTCCTTGTAGTCATAACACCTCTGGCTTATTGCATATTTCCTGTGTGCCAATAACTGTGGTATTTACAATTACTATCGCATGAAGCTCTAGTAGGTAGGAGTTCAGACTATGTTTACTTAAACCCCTCCATGCCACTAGTTGGTTATGTGACCTTAGGCAAGTCATATAGCTTGTCCCAAGCACTCTCCTGACTGTAAAATAGCGTTAATAATCGTGGCTTTCTCACAGAGTTGTGTGAGGGTTAAATGAGATAATATGGTAAAACACTTACCACATTGTCCGACACTGACGAGCACCCAGTCAGTGTTAGCTGTGAGCAGTAATAATCTTCCAACAGCCCACGCAGGAGAGTGTTATTGTTTATCTGTGTTTTAGAGGCAGGATATGGAAGCCTAGAGATGTAGAGTAACTCTCCCAAGGTCAGACCATGGCAGCAGAGCCAGGATATGACCCAGGTCTCTGACTCCAAAACATGTACTTTTAGTCCACAGCAGAAACATGCACTTTTAGTCCACTACACCTGCTGCCTATTCTCTCCTTCTCCCCATAACTGCCCTTCTCCAGAACTCTTTGTTACTTTAGTATTCTCCATTCTTTCCTACCATACATGCCATCACCAGTGACAAAACCAAAGAAAGATAATGTTAAAATGATATCTTATATGATAATCCTTCTAATATTGCAGTGATTCTGAGTGTTCTTTTATATCACAGACTTTTCTGAAAATCTGGTGAAAACTCTGGCCCTTCCTCCCAGAAAAATACACATATACACCTATGTAGAATTTTGCATATAATTTCAGGAGGTTCATAGACACCCTAAAACCTACCCACCTTGTCTGTGGACCCCAATTTAAGAGCCCCTGCTTTATTAGGAATGGATTCATTAAACAAAAATCAAGAAACACCAAACATAAAGGAAAAAACTGATACATTCATCACATTAAAATTTGGAACTTCTGTTTTTACACCCTGTTGAGAGTAAAACACCACAAAACTGGGAGAAAAAGTTGCAAAATACATAACTGACAAAAGATTAATAGCCACAATACATAAACAAACCACAAACTTCCCAGTAGAAAAATGAAGTCTTAAGAGGCATTGCCTAGAAACAGAAACCAGGATGGCCAATAATCATGAAATATGTTCAACACTTTTAGTTACCAGAAAAATGAAAATTTAAGTCCCAATGAGATACCACTTCTTACCCATCAGAGTGGCAGAAATGAAAAAGGTGAACTACAAAGTTTTGGCAAGGAAGTAGAGCAGTTTGCTCACTTGTATACCGCAGTGGGCCTGTAAATGTTCCCAGTCACCCAGGAAAGCAATTTGTTACTGTCTAGTCACCTATCTTGTGGCGCAATCATCCTTCTCCCAGCCACATACTCCAGAGAAAACGTGTACTCCAGGAGACATACACAAAATGTCATAGCATCACTTGCAATAGTTAAAAAACTGAAAATAACCCAGATATCCATCTATAATAGAATGAATAAATAATTAAGGTATCTACACACCGTGGGAAAAAAAAAAGCAATGAAATGAATAAAAGATAAGATAGCTCCTGTAATAGCTTGGGTAATTCTCAGGAACATAATGTAAAACAACAAAACTAAGTTGCTGAAGAAACCATTTATGTAACATTCCAACATGTGCAAAGCTATTGTTCAAGGCAGAGCTTGCCAGCTTGGGCAATGTGCATGCACTGGTGTGCAGCAGATGGCTCATGATGGTGAACCCCACCCTCTGGGGCAGCCAGAACCCCCAGGCCGGTTGCCTCTAGGTGTCATCAGGGGCTGCTTAGAAGGCAGTCTGAGGATAGTGGTGTCTTAGGTTGGCAGTGGGTGAGCATGAGTTATGTCTCAGGCCTGATGCTCTGTTGTGACGCCCTGAGTGCAGCCAAGGAGTTGGCCACCTGGGCCACTGCCAGATGCAGACTCAGGCTGCAAAATGTGGCCTGAGACATGAGGCACTGACAGGGCCACCTATAATCCCAGCCTCTGGAACATATAGGATACTTTTGAATGCCTGTAAAACATGACTTAAAAGTTATTACTATTACCTACAGGGCAGAGGTCCTCATTCTGATGATTGTATTAGTTTGCTAAAGCTGTATAACGAAGTACCACAAACTAGTTAGCTTAAACAGCAAGTTTTTTCTCAACTCTGGAGGCCAGAAGTCTGAGATCAAGAGGCCAGCACATTTGCTTTCTTCTGCAGCCTCTCCCTGGGCCTGTAGATGGCCGTCTCCTCCCCGTGTCCTCACATGGCCTTCCCTCTGTGTGTCTGTTCACATTTCCTTCTTTTAGGACACCAGTCATATTGGATCAGGACTCACCTAATGACCTCATTTTAACTTAATTACCTCCTAAAAGATCCCCATCTCCAAATACAGTCGCATTCTGAGGCACTAGGAGCTAGGACTTCAACATATGAAAGCGGGTAGGGGGGCACACAATTTAGTCCATAATGATGGGCAGATTGTCATTAAAATTTTTCGGCAGGAACCAGAAGTAGCCGTTTCAAACATAGAACCTGATTATTTAGAAAAAGACCATGGATTTAAACACAGATTCCTCACTAACTGTTTTGAAAAGATTCTGCTTGAAAATTTTATGCCAATATAAAATTTTCCCTAATGTTTTATATATTATTGTCATCATTTCATAGTATAAATGAGAACCCCCCCACAAGAGCTATTCCATTTTACCCTAGCACTGTCATTTTCTTTGAATACCCTGTTGTGGGAAGGTTGGGAAGCATTATGTAGAGATACAAATGTAGTGAGACTCTACAGGAAATGAAACACTCGATTCAGGCCAATGATGACTTCTGACGAAGGAGGGACACATTGCTATTTAAAATAATGATAATATTTGTTCATGAAACTGCACACAGGTGTTCATGTCACTGTTCTTCATGTAAATATGTATTTCATAAATACGTTTGTACCCGTTCACTGTTTAATAAAATCAGTTAAAAGGAAAAACTCTGGCTTTGTTAAGTCCTCTGTGACAATTTGATCTTTTCTCAATCTGTATGCTACTTGAAAATACAGACTGTCTTTCTGGTTGACTTCTGCAATGCTATTACCAAAGCTTGAGTACCTAAAAAACATTTATGATAGTGGCAATAACCAATATTTAATAATGTGTCTTAATGGTGACAATTAGAGAAGCAGAGACTCAAGGACATCAAAAGAAATAAATTGAGCCTGATTGGCATGTGATTCTGACCTACACTAAAACTAAAAAAGCCAAAAGATAAGCAGTTTTCCTCAGACACTTGTGGTTATTTCAGTTAGTCACAAGCCTTGGTGATTTCTGCATCTGGGCCTGATCCTAAAGCAGGGATTAAAACCTCTTGTTCCAAAACTGTTTCATAGATGAATATCCATTTCTGTTGTGATCTTTCATATACTCTTGGGCAATTAGTAAATAACTCAATCTGTGTTTTCTCATCAATATAATAAGGATAACTATATCCCTTTCCTCTCAGTATAATGTTAAATGAAAAAGTTATTTCCAAGTGTTCCGAGCTTCAGGAATGAGATGGACAAACTAGGCAGTTACTTCATCTCTCGGAATAGAAGGTGCTGGCGCCCCCTGGTGGTAAATAGCGGTGAAGACGCAGAAACGTGTTCATATTACTGGATGGAAAGAACTGTTTGAATACCAGGTAGTGGTAACTCTCAGCAGTAGGTATACCAACAATATTGTTGAAGTCAACGGTGATTTTTTTGTAATGTTGGTTAAATAAAAAGTTGAAAACACAGCTTTCCCACTAAAAGAAGTAGAAAAAGCCATCATTAAACATACCTTGTCTTCAAAGCATTTCCAGTATTTCCAGCTAGCAGGCAAACAGATTCTTTTCCTGTGTGGCTGTGATTTTCAGGGGGTCTGTTACATTGCTCCATTGTGAGTGGTGCTTTTCTTTTTTTTGCATTGCTTCTCAGGCCTGGATGAATGAAAAGTTTGCCCCCGAGCTGCTGGAAAGCAAGTCTGAAATTGTAGAATGTGTCATGGAACAGCTCGATCACATGGTAAGAGCTGCTTGCCTCAGGGTCACAAAGGAAGAAATATGTTTGCCAGTTTGGTGAGAGGTTGTGGTTGGATGGCTTATCTGTTTAGTTTAGCCCAACCTAATATGGGTCTTGTTTTGTTTTAAATATTGAATTAGTTATCTGTATTTACAAAGCATGAGAGTTCCTGTGAATATCTGCAGATCAGCTTCCCGTGAAAAGTCTACAACCTGTCATCACTGGCCCCACATTTCTACACGAGAACAGCTGGCCAGAGCAGGGTTAAGGTTCACCCCCTTTCAGCTTGCTCTCCAGTTCTCCACTGTCCCCAGCTTCTCCCCTTTCTCATATACCTCACTGGCCTGGCCCCTCTAGACATTTGAGTTTATGGCCCTTAGCTTAGATGAACTGGGCTTAAGCCATTGCCAGCCTCAGCAGGTTTTGTTTCCTTTTTACATCTCATAAATTTTGAAGTGTACACATTCAAGTACCCATCACCCAGATTAAGACATCAAACAATCTCACTAATTTTTATTTCCCCTTCACTTATTTCACCCATCCCCCCCCACCTCCCTCCCCTATGGCAACCACCACTCTGTTCTCTGTTTATGAGTCGATTTCGGGTTTGTTTGTTTTGCTTTTTAGAGTCTACATATAAGTGAGATCACATGGTATTTATCTTTCTCGGTCTGACTTATTTCACTTAGCATAATATCCTCTACTTCCATCCATGTTGTCACAAATGACAAGATTTCATTCTTTTTTAGCTGAGTAATATTCCATTGTGTATATGTACCACATCTTCTTTATCCATTCATCCAATCAGCACTAGTATTTTAGAGTTTCTTAACTGTTGTTGTAATGCTGCTTTTTAGACCCTTTAGACACTTCTGTTTGCCATATTATCTCCTTCACAGTTGGGTTGGAATTCTTCTAGGCTGTTCTGACCATACTCAGATTCTATTTGAATGGTCATTTTCTAAAAGTGTGTACTGTTTGAACTTTATATAATGAGAGTATACTCATATATTATTTGTGCAATTAAAAAATTAAAATGAGAACTTATTTGAATGTTTTGTTCTCCTTTGACCTAAATGTAATCTTTGAGTCCTCAACATTGCCAGTGATAATGGTCCTTGTGTATAGAGATTAAACACAAAAGGTCCTTAACTCTTTGAATATCATGTTTTTTATAAACTTCGTTTTCTCTTTTACTAGGAAGAAAATCTCAGGAGAGCCAGGAAGGAGGATCTGAAGGTTGGGGTCCATTGGATGGAGATGGAGAGGATCCGCTACGTGCTGAGCAGCTACTTGCGGTGCCGGCTCATGAAGGTCTGATGTGGAGATGCCTGTAGGCGTTGGGGCCACGCCGTCTAACACACTGAGTGTCTCGGCGAGAAGTTGGGCTGGGGTCTGGGAGGGTTCCAGGCCCTGAAGATGCTGCTGAGGCCCAATATCAAAGAATGAGGAGGGGAGGAGATTATTCTGGAGAGCCACAGATGGAACGTGTGCCACACAGCTCCAGACACGCTCTCAGTCTGCTTCTCTGCTGTGTGGATGGCACCCCTGGAGCTGCGACGTGACAGTGCTGACAGCAAAGGTGTTCGCAGTGTTCGAGTAGGGAATACTAACTAGAGGATAACTGGTTTTAAAAATAATTTTGCATTTGTCGTATAGGCAGTATCAAATAGGCCTGCTACCTCAACATTCACTTACAGCTCCGTGGCCACCTAACTTACCGAAATGGAATTGCAGAGCCTTCTTTTACATGATGTCTGTTTGAACCCTGGAAAGCTTCGTTCCTTGAAGTTTCTTCTCACCTGGTCCAGTTATCCCCTTAGTCATTACAAAACAAGTGTTTGCTCTCTTCTCCGTGAGAGTGTTTCAGAGAGTGGGGACAGCGCACCCATCTCTCCCCAGGCCTCTCAGCTAAGCATTTCAACCATTTATTTCCATTCCTGTCCTGCTTTCTTCCCTAAAAAGATTCCACCTTGTCCATATCCTTAAATTATACTACCTGCAAGTGATTGCAGTGGTCACTTTAGTGAGAAACAGGAAGATCACTTACGTTACTCAGGATATTAAGCTGGTGGCAATACCACCCAGGTACGTTAGCACCTTTGACAGACACATCACCCTGAATTCACTCTGCACTCACTATTTACCCTAACCTCTCTGGAAGTTTTTAACTTATTACCCCATCCTATCACTGTCATGTATTTGTATGACTTGATTTTTTGACCCCTAAGTATAGGACTTGATACTTATCCCTCTTAAACCTCATCTTCTTAAATTAGGACATCTTCCTGGTGTCTGGTTCCTGATCTGGTCACCTAATATACTAGCTATCTTAGCACACATCATCAGCAAGTTTGATAAATACCCCAGGGATAGAGCCTTCCACCAGCACCTTCCCTGCAGAAGGACATCTGTATCCTCTTTGTTCAACCGTTCATGAGTCTTAGTCTGTACTGTCACCCAGCCCAGGTTACAGTTTGTCCACAGGGTATCCTAAAGACATTATCACATGTTTTGAAAAAACAGCCCACAATATGCCCCTCCACACCACCATCAATTACCACTTTTCTTTTTTCTTGTTTTGGTTGGATATTTCCTCTTCGTGAGAACCAATTCCTTTTCCTTGAGTTCACAAACCACTTTTTAAATGATATAATATAAGGCCACATATCAGTGTTGACACTAACCTGCATTTGAAGATTCCCCAAATGTTTGTATTTTTGGAAATTGGGAAATCTACCTATCTTATCTTTCACACATCTTCTGAAATTGGTACTTGTAAGTGAGAATCCTGTGAGCATGGGCTCCAAACAACAACCTAGCTGCTGCCTGGTTCCTCGCCACACACATTTTTGTAGCTTTTAGCTTTTACCTATTTATATTTTTCCTGGTAGTTCTTAGCATTTTGGCCAAGCCTCACCTCTTGTGGGTTCACCTGTATAATTATCACTGCTCTATCTGCTGTGTGTTCCATATACATCTTTCCAGCTTTTGTATATGTTTCATCTCCCAGAACACCTTCTGTAGTCACATAAAATCTTAAATGATATCCCCTTCTCTTCCTCTTAAATATCATCTACAGTTGTGTTTTCAGATTTTTTTCTATGCAAGCCTTTCGTTTTTCTAACCTGTCTTCCTTTTTAGAGTCCTCTCTTTCCTCTGAATTCTTTGAAGTCCAGAGTATAGGTCTTGTTATCAGAAAGATCCTTGACCATGAAGACTTGCCATTTTTGAAGTCAGTTTCTAGATGAACCCCAACCTGTCTCAGAAAACTAGTGTATTGGATGCTTGAATCTTGACAGATGTTTTCACGATGATTGTTGTGTATCCTCACAGATAGAGAAGTTTTTCCCCCATATCCTTGAAAAGGAGACAGCGCGCCGCAGGGGAGAGCCTTCAAGCCTGTCTCCGGGAGAGTTTGCCTTCGCCAAAGAGTGAGTGAACCGGGCATGTGGGAGCGGCCTTGTTCCCCTGCTTGTGAGCACACGTTTGGGCGCTCAGGCCCAGGAAGCCCATCTCGGAGCCCTTGTTGTCTCTGCCGCCCTGGGGCTCCTCCCCGCCATGCAGCCCCAGCAGTTTGCATGTATATGTTTCAGGTACATGGCTAACACAGAGACCTGTCTGAAGAACGCTGCCTTAAAGCACATGCCTCCTAACCTACAAAAGGTGGACCTCTTGAGGGCAGGTAAGCTGGACATCATCTTTTCAGACACTCTGAGGCGCCGTAGCTGCCATCCCAGGATCCTCAGCTGCCATTGAATAAGATCTTCTCTTCACTCTTTCCTCTCAGACCTAGAAAAAAATGCATGTAGATAAGCAGGAAAGAGAAGAGAGGAAGAGTTCTGGGTGAAAAACAAAGAAATGGCCAAAAGCAGGCAAAGGGGAGCCCCTTCAGGACTGCTTCATATTCCTCAGGTCAGGCGGACTCCCGGCCGCCACTGTGACTGTGGACTCCTCCGTGTCTTCAGTCACTGGCTCCCTCCGCAGCTGTCGGCTGGGCGCCCGAGCTGTGCCAGCCTCTTCTGGGCACAGAAGACCCAGGAGTCTGCTCTACGGAGGCTAGCGGTCTTCTCCTCTCAGACGCCAAACCATGTGGGGGCTGCCTGGCCCCCAGGGAAGATTTCAGTCGGCAGCTAAGGACACCCTCAGTGATTCCCTGGCACCGGTAGTAGGGCTCCTGCTCTTTCTGTTGAGAGGAGCGTCTCTCGTTACTGAAAGCAGATCAGCACTGAGAGTGGAGAGAAGGGAAGCACGGCCACAGCCTCTGCCTCGTGCCCACCTGGCACAGCCCCTTCATATCCTGCTGAGCTCAGGGAAGGAAGTTACGGTAGGAACTTCTAACCTCGGATCAGCCAGCTGGGAACCTCTGTCATGCAGGCTAAAGTCCATCCTCAGCCCTCCGTGGCTTGCCACGTCCTGATGGGGCCTTGTCAGGCAGAACTGCCAGGCCATGTCAGACAGTTCCCCAGGGAACTGGAATCCACCTAGTTCACAAGCGAAGCTCAGTGTGCCAGCGCCACAAGTTCAAGGCCAACCAAGCCCTGGGAATTCCTCTCCCACCCAGCCTGTGCTGGGGAGCCACTCTGACCCCTGTGGTGGGTGAAACAGCTAGAGTAGGATGGGTGGGGCGGTGTTCACCAGGTGTTTGAGTCGGCACAGCCTACTGTAACCACATACCATGGATGAGGGCTTAAACAGCAGCCATTATTTCCTCACAGACCTGGAGGCCAGGAGCCCATGATCAAGGTGCCAGCAAGGCTGGGGTCCTCCGAGGCCTCTTCTGTGGCCACAGACATCCACTGTCCTGCCTCTTCACGTGGTCACCTCTCTGCATGGCCTCCCCTGGCATCCTTTCCTCTTACAAGGACACTAGTCAGATTGGGTTAGGCCCCACGCTAACATCCCATTATAACTTAATTACCTCTGTAAAACTCTGTCTCCAAATACATTCCCATTGTGAGGTACTGGGGGCTACCGCTTCAACATCTGAACTTAGTGGGATGTAGTGCAGCCTCTAGCCCCAGGGGCAGGTCAAACCCATACCGATTTGTGGAGCTCTGATGTGGTCATTTTGGTGAACCTGCCTGAAGGAAACAAAATGCCCCATCGTGGCCAGTTCAGCCACTTTTGTCTGCCCCTGAGAAGAGCAGGAACAGAGCAAGGACCTGATCCCTAATCACTGCCCACCGCCATCGCATCCCAGTGACCGAAGCCCCATGGGAATGCACTGAACTGGGTGCAGCTGGGCTGCTGTCCCAGAGCTCCTGTATGGTGCTGGTGGACACTGCCTAATGCTCTGGTCACTTGTCCTGAGTCCCTTCTGAGGATGAGCTTGTAGAATTGGAAGCTGGTGGTGGGGACCAGCCGCCCTAGTGTAATGCTTAGTTAGCATTTCACTAATGAAATGCTAGTCCGGCCTAGTTAGTGCAGATGCCCTGAGCCCCTTCGGGCCTCTAGAGAATTGTGGCCTGATGGCAGGGTGGGGAGAGGTGCACTGCAATCCAAGCTGGGTTTCCTGGAATCAGTTGCAGTCTGGTGGGGTCAGGTGACCTTGAAGTTGTAGTCTTTGGAGGCGCAGAATCCTGGACCAGACCAGCCCACCTTAGACCTTTGGAGCCAGTTATCCCAAACCCCTTCCTATCAATATGAAACCCGAACTAGGCTCCTAGAACTGAGCTACCCAGTAGGTTCTCTGGACCCTGCAGAGGGACCCTCTGGGCACAGATGGAGCCCCAGGAAATGAAGAGCTTTGCAGGAACAGTCCAGCTTGAGGCATCTACTTACTTGGAATGTTGGCTGGTGGTAGAAGAGGGGGCGTGGCAGCACCTTTGTGCTCTGTGATCAACCCATGATCCCTTACAGTTAAACCCCATATCCCTTAGTCCACATTCAAGACTGCACCATGTGACCCCATCTTTCCACTACTCATTCCTCCTCCTTTATGTAGAATTATTTTCTAAGCAGACTGTACAGTCTGTCCTCCCAAAATGTGCGTACTTCTACCTTGCCCCTTGCTGCTGTCTCCCAGGCTTGCTTTTCTTCCTTCATCCTGCCCTTTCCTTCAAAGCTCACATCAGCTTCTTTCTCCCCCCCATTGAGTGGGTGTGCCACTAATGTGAGGTTTCCTCCCACACTCCTGTTCCCACCCCATCCAAGAGACACCATGTTAGGCTAGCCTGTCTCCTGCACACTTTGCATGCCCATCCTTGTTGAATGAGCGGCTGTTGTGTGCGGCACCATGGTTGGGTGAGGAGCCAGATCCCCCCTCCAAACACCCTCCCATGAAAGGCCTTCACACCAGAGTTCCCTTAGCACACGATACCATTAATACCAGCAGCTTCTCCCACGATGATCTAGTTAGCTGAGCATTTCCTGATCACAATTGTTTTTCTGGCAGTTCCCAAACCAGATCTCAATTCATACGTGTTTCTGAGAGTGAAAGAACGGCAGGAAAACATCCTGGTAGAACCGGAGACAGACGAGCAAAGGTGAGACACAGAGCTGGCTCTGACCCCGTGTCCCTCCCAGTGGAGCACAGCTCAGCCCCACAGACGCATTCTCTTCCTCCTTTCTCAGGGACTATGTGATCGACTTGGAGGAAGGCTCTCAGCACTTGATCCGATATAAAACCATTGCACCTCTGGTTGCTTCTGGAGCAGTACAGCTAATTTAAAACCAAAAGTAAACAACTGAGGGAAGATGTGGAACCTTCAGAGAAAGTGTTTAGATACCCCTCGTATCGCAAAGCCTCAGGACAATAAACGTTTCTCGGCAGTGCTGTGGATCCCTCGGGCCTTGGGGAGGCCTTCCAGGCAGGATTCTGCTCTCTGCTGTTTTAGCCAGAACCAGCAGTTGGAGCCGTCGCTCTGTTGATGCTGCGTGCTGAACAAGCCCAGGGACCCCATTTCCGTGGTAGTTTTTGAGCTGAGCAAAGTGAGGCAAAGGTAGTTCAAAGAAAGGTTTTGCTGCCTCTTCTCAGGGGCCTGCAGTTAGCCCTGGCCTCAGGCTGGCACAAGGGGCCATTCAACCTTGCTGGCAGGAAGAGTGTAAATATATTAAAGGAAACAAGATAAAATATCTTCTCTGATTGATTCTCACTAGGTTGTTTGTGTGAACTAACCTTTTGGAACCTCTAATATTGGACTTAAAACCAATTTCTGTCATGCTTAACTCAGGACCACAACCAAACCAATAAACCATTGTTAAGTTTCAGGTTTGTGGCAGAAGGAGCCTCTGGACAGCTCTCCGTTGTAGCCTAGTAAGTAGGTCCTCCCTGCTGCCCACCTGCAGCCTTCCCTTGCCAAGCCAGCCCCAGGCCATCTGGCCATCGTTGGCCAAGGCTCTGTTACCTGAGCAACATTCGCTGTCCTGTGTGCTGACGTCGGTAGCAGCTTTTCGTCTTTAAGCCCGGCTTTCTCGAGGGAAATGGATGAAATTAAGCTAACATAAATGGGGTGCGTTAGGGCTGTGTATGTACCTAAAGGAAAAATGGCTAGACCCTGATAAAAAGCAGCCTGCACTCCAGTCTTTTCTTGTATGATGAAAAGAAAACCAATTTATATTTACATAAGGTAGGCTGTTAGAGTAATCAAAATGAATTTGCTGTCATTTGCAAGAGAAACCACAAAGTAAAAGCCGGGAAGGTTTTATTAGTTAATAAAAAGCATTTTATATTTCTTATAGTACTTTATTTTCTCCAGAGTATTTTTATCCTCTTGAGTCATTCACTGAACAAATACCTATGGAGCATATAGTGTCCCAGGCTCAGGTCAAGGCACTGAGGCTTGAACTGAGAATAAGAACCCCAGAATATAAGACACTGTCCCTGCTCACATGGCGGTAAGTGCCTTGCAGAGATAACAGGAGTCATCAGAGAGTGACTGGACTGGGTGGTTCTGGGCTAATTAGGCTGAGATCTGAATGAGAAGGAACCAAGCACAAAGATCAAAGGGAAGGGCATTTCAGGCATAGCAGCTTGTGCAAAGGCCCCAAAGCAGAAATGAACTTGCCTGCAGTCACTGTGGCTAGAACACAGTGGACACAATGCAAAACGGTGCAGAAGGTCTGAGGGGCAGGCTGGGCCCAGATCACACAGGGTGTTACAGCAAGGATCCCTCTTGGTCCAAAGTGCAGTCCTGTGAAGTTGTCAGGGCCGGGAGTACATGCTACACGGGGAACAAAGCCGATCTTCCGTGACAAGTCACACTAGAACCCGTCTCCCTCTTCATTGCGTGTGTACGAGCTCACTCATCCTGACCTCTGTCGTGCTCAGCAGCCCAGGGAGGCATGTGGCTGTTAACACTAATAGCTACAACAGTGCTTCCTAAGCCTAAATGTGCACCAATCCCCTGGGGTCTTGTTAACCATGCAGATTCTGCCACAGGAAGTCTGGAGCAGGGCCCAGGGTCCTGCATTGCTGAGCAGCTACTTGGCTGGGCAATTGCTTCCGATCTAGGGACCCCACTTTGAATGGCAGCACTGTAATGTTCATGTTGCCAGCTCCTGTCCTGTGCATGCCAGGCTACACGGAGGAGTTACATTCTTACTAAAGCCACAGGGTGAATTGTTCCATTTCCTGTGTCACCTCTTCAAGGGAACTCTGGTTTAAATGTTGTTTTTAAATTAAGGGGAAGTTGAATTTCAAAACCAAGTAGAAAGGGAACTGATGTGGCTTCATGTGATGTTGATTAGCTTTTTCAGTTCAGTGACTGTATTGTCTTACTGTTAACAATCTCCTCCCTGGAAGCATGACAACATTTTCTTCAGGTAAGTGCATCATAATTTATCACAAGCTATTGCTAAGCAAGATGGTCAGCTCTTCCTGAGAAGGGCTGGCAGGGTCACATCTGGGTTGTTCAGCCCCAGCAATCGTGTCAGCTGTGACCTTTGGCAAGCCCCCAGCTGTGCTTCCTCTATGCCCAGAGCCCCTGGCAGGCAGTGTGGCTTTATTGCCACCCTATTGCATCAAATTTCCTGCTGTGATATCCATGACTTACCCATAAAGCTTTCAGAGCGAACTGGTAAGCAAGCATATACTCTATCAATTCTTCATATATGTTCTTTATCATAGGAGGCAAAACATGCCAAACATTTGGAATTCCTCAAAAGTTTTTTTTTCTGTATTGTGGTAAAACACGCACAGCAATTACTGCCTTATTTTTCAACGTACCATTCCGTGGTGTTAAGACAAGACCTTAGGTACATTCTGTGTCTGTCTTTTTCTGACTGGCTTATTTCATTTAGTGCAGTGTCCTCAAGGTCCATCCATGTTGTAGCATATTGCAGAATTTCCTTCCTTTTAAGGCTGAACAATATCCCATTGTATGTATAGACCACATTTTGCTTTTCCATCCACCAATGGACACTTGGGTTGCTACACATTTCAGCTGTTGTGAATAATGCTGCTATGAACATGGATACACAGCTATCCCTTTGAGAACCTGCTTCTTAATAATGTACAAAAACCATTCTCCTTTACAGCTCTGTCCCCAGCGTTTCAGTAGCTGATATCACAAAATTACATCTTAAATAATTGCATGTCGAAAATGGAAGCTAATATTCATTTAAATGTATTAGCCTCCTAAGTTACACAGAAGAAAAAATTTGGACTCACAAACCAAAGTTACAGTCATGCCAGCTTTTACACAAATAATTGGGTTTTTTCTCTTAAACTCTATTAGTCTCTTAAATCATGAAGAAAACAAAACATGTAGTACAAACAATTATTATATCAATACTAGCTTTTATAATCACCCACATATTTACCTCTATTAACATCTTTATTTCTCCATATGGCTTTGAGTCACCATCCAGCATCCATTCATTTCACCTTGCTGCATGTCTTGTGGAGCAGGCCCAGTGATCACCAGCTCCAGCTTTTGCCTGGGAATGCCTTAATTTCTTCACTTTTGAAGGATGGTTTGGCTGCATGCATGATTCTTGGTAGATTTCTTTCTTTCTAGCACTTTGACCCTATTGATCACTGTCTCCTGGCTCCAAAGTTTCTGATAAGAAATATGCTGGTGATGGATGCTCTTGAGGACCCTTATCTGTAATAATTCACTCCTCTTGTTTTCAAAATTCTCTGTCTTTGGTTTTTGAAAGTTTGATCATAATGTATCATAATGTGGATTTCTTTAAATTCATCTTAAAGTTTGTTGAGCCTCTTAGATTTAAACAAAATTTTTTAATGAAGTATAGCTGATATACAATATTGGCTTCAAGCATACAACATAGTGATTCAATAGTTATCTACATTATGAAATGCCCACCCCAATTGCTGCAGTTACTATCAGCACAAAAACATGTTACAGAACTATTGACTATATTCTCTATGCTGTACTTCTATCCCCATGACTAATTTATATCATGGTTAAGATTTTGTGCCTCTTTATCCCCTTCATTTATTTCTCCAACTCATCAATCCCATCCCCTTCTTAGATGTTTATATTCATGTCTTCCACCACATTTGGGGCCTTTTCAGCCATTATTTTTTCAATATTCTCTCTGCCCCTTTCTTCTCTCCTCTTTGGTACTCCCACAATATGTACGTTGGTCCTTTTCATGGTGTCATGTCCCCTGGGTCCCTTGGGCTCTTCACTTCTCTTCAGAATCTTTTCTTTCTATTCCTCAGCCTTGGTAATTTCCATTGTCTTACCTGCAAGTTCACTGACTCTTCTGCCTACTCAAATCTGCCTTTGAATTCCTCTAGCAAATTTTTCATTTCGGTCATTGAACATTTCAGCTCCAAAGTTTCTTTGGTTTTTGTTTTTTTTTTTATATATCTGTATTGATATTTCCATTTTGTTCACACATCTTTTTCTTGATTTCCCTACATCTTCCTTTAGTTCCTTGATTATCTCTAAGATAGTTGTTTCAAGTGTACCTCCATCAGATCTTTCTCAGGGATAGTTTTTGTTGCTTTATTTTCTCTTTGAATAAGTCATACTTTCTTGTTTCTTTGTATGCCTTGTGATTTTGTGTTGAACACTGGACATTTGGATGTAATGATGTCATTCTGGAAGTATGATTCTCCCCCTTCCCTAGGGTTTGCTGTTTTTGTTCTTGTTTTTGTTTTTTTTATTGTTGTAGGATGTCTCAGTGCCAAGGATCAGCCTGAGATATAAACTTAATTGTTCTCAAGCTTTTTTTGAGCCTTTCCCTGGGCATGCACACTTTCTGTTTTTCCCTGTTTTTGCAGTTGTTTTAAATGTTCTAGTCTTTACGTTTGCCTCCTGAATGAAAAAAGAAGGGGAAAAGACTAGGAACAACAAATGCTGATGAGGATGCGGAGAAAGGGAAACCCTCCTACAGTGCTGGGGAATGTAAGCTAGTTCAACCATTGTAGAGAGCAGTATGGAGGTTCTGCAAAAAACTAAAAATAGAAATACCATTTGACCCGGGAATCCCACTCCTAGGAATTTACCCAAAGAAAACAACTTCTCAGATTCAAAAAGACATATGCACCTCTATGTTTATTGCAGCACTATTTACAATAGCCAAGAAATGGAAGCAACCTAAGTGTCCATCAGCAGATGAATGGATAAAGAAGATGTGGTACATATACACAATGAAATATTATTCAGCCATAAGAAAGAAACAAACCCTACCATTTACAACAACATGGATGGAGTTTGAGGATATTATGCTCAGTGAAATAAGCCAGGTGGAGAAAGACAAGTACCAAATGATTGCCCTCATTTGTGGAGTATAACAATGAAGCAAAACTGAAGGAACAAAATAGCAGCAGACTCAGAGACTCCAAGAAGGGACTAGTGGTTACTCAAGGGCAGGGGTGGGAGAGGGTGGGTGGGGAGGGAGGGAGAAGGGGATTGTGGGTTATCATGATTGGTGCACATGGTGTCGGGGGGGTCATGGGGAAGACAGTGTAGCTCAGGGAAGACAAATAGGGACTCTGAGATCTTACTACACTGATGGACAGTGACTGCAATCGGGTATGGGGCGGGACTCGATAATAAGGGTGAATGTATTAACCACATTGTTTTTCTTGTGAAACCTTCATAAGAGTATATATCAATGATACCTTAATAAAAAAAAAAGAAGGGGGAAAGAAAGGGCACCAGTTCTTTAAGCCCCTTGGGAGTCACTTCAACCAGAGGTGGAGAGACTTACAAAATAGGGAAGGTGTCACAACAGTGGCTGCCCACCTTTTGTCTGTCCTCAGAAAAGCACAGCTGCCTTTCACGTGTCTAGGGCTGGAGGGTGGGCAGCTACAGCAGTGCTGGGAGCTGTGATGGAAGTTAACTTCAATTTACCATTCCTAGTCTTCTGCCTTCCACAAACTCCAGAGCTCCAAAATACCACCTCAGACAGACTCTGCTAGTGTCGTTGTTGCCTGGATGGAGAGAGATTTCTGGGGCTTCCTGCTCCACCATTTTCCCAGAAATCTCTGAGAATTGATTTTTTAAGTGTATCTAATCAACTAGCTCTGAAAGAACTCTCACTTGTCAAAAAACTTAATAAAAGCAAAATCTATATTCTTGTTTATTTAACAGACTTGACTTCAAATAACTTAGCTGTTTCTAGAAGACCAAACACACCTCCCATAGCTAAAAAACAGCTACTGAGGGTATTCAAAGGAATGTACTATAGGTTCTGAAAGCAGTAGTTATAGCTAATGTTTATGAAGGATTACTAT